ATACATGAACCGTTCTTTACCAAACTTTATTGCTTGAAATTATTTTTACAACATTTACAGAGGTTAAGCTGACAGTGGACAACCTGAAATGCACCACTTCGAGGAGGTATCGAATTTAAGTTTTGCCATTTTGAGTGGTGGGCAATACAAACTGAAGTTTTGTAGTTTGAATAAAACTAAGATTTATTTTAATAAATTATATTTTTTTAATACATTTCGAATCGATTTGATTTATATATTACTTTAGTTTATACACTCAGTGTTAGCTGTTATGTTGATAAATATGTTATATGGCATATATTTTATGTTAGATAAATGTTGTTCCATTTCAAGAAACTTCAATTTAGCAGATTATGAATATTTTGATAATATATTTCTAAAGCCTGAAACTTTATTTTCTATATTTTGATTTAAACAATATATTATTTTATTCTGGACAAACTCTTTCAATATCAACTCGCTTCATTACTCGCTTTAGCTTTTTATAAGCTATGTTTGTTTCTTGACATACTCTTCTAATTTCGAAACGTTCATTATGCTGTTCATCACTTGCATTGCACTTCATATTTTCAGATTTAGTTTCTTTTTCCTAAAGGAATAATATTAGCACAACTTCTCCATATTACGTTTCCAGATTAAGTTCTATACAAACTAAAGAGTAATAAAATCATGCAATAAATAATACCTTTACAAAAGAATAGTGTTGAAAGTTAACGATTAAAAAAAATAAGAAAAATATAATTATTTAATTTAATTGTTCTACAGCTGGTTTATATATATACATATATAATTTGTTCAAAATTACTAAAAAATATAGACTTTATCAAGATCATTTTTTTTGTTATTGTAAGGCTATTTAATTAATCAATTAAATTTATTATCTTAAAAAAGTTAAACTTTTAAAAATGATAAATATTGTTGTTATCTCTGACTAGCCACATAACACAGTGTATGTGCGTTGTCACTGGACAGGTTCTGGGTTCATATCCCATTAAGATCTGATGCAAACAGAGTACTATAAAATAATCTTTTAAAAATGCTTGCTGGTTCTGTTTTAGAAATGGTTCTCTAAACAGTCAATAGATTTACGCGGACCAGTTCAAAGTAATGTGACCTATTGTAGATTAATGTCCTTCTATAAACAATATCATCAAATGACAAAATATTAAGTAACTAGAATATAACTTATTAGAACGTCCTTTATATTTTATTTGGTATATTTAACTTCATTTACGCTTTTCTAGCCCTGAAAATTTCTTACTAACCTTTGAGTTTGGTATGAAATTTTTTGAAGAGTTTTTTTATAATTTTCTTGATTTATTCTGAAATTATTTTGAAAAAAAAATAGAAACTTTCAAGCTGTCTTCAAAATTTTATTACAATATCGAAATCTACTTAAATTAAGGTTGACAAAAAATAAATTAACAAACGCAATTAAGTTTTTGTGGACTGTTCAAGATAACGTGGAATTTAACAACATAATTTGTCCATAATTTTTTAGAATTGCAGTGTAATTTACTTACTGGCAGCTTACAGAGAATTTGTTATTATTAAAATATATAAAATAAATAGTTTAAATAATATATAAAATATATATAATAGATAAAAATAAATAAATAAAATATATAATAAATATAAACATAAACATAAATAAATAAAAATATATAATTATATTAAAATTCTAGTAAACAATTTAATTTCCTTATTATTACAAGTGAATTTAAATATATTTAATAAATTCTCTTTCCTTTTCTGAATTATAGTACAACTTTACTTGCATTTGTATTTAAATTTAATTTCATTCGAAATTAGAACAAATTTCATTTGAAACCTGAAAATACTGAAATGAAAGAAGAAAATAAATAAAAAATAAAACACAAAAGAATTGATATGGACCGAAATCACGAATCTCATTAAAATTAAATAACGAATATAAAAATACATGAAAAAGGAACACCAAACATCAAAGCATCCTTAATCTCCTCTCATCTTTTAAAGCATCCAAAGCATTCAAAAAAAATTGAGAAAATAACTGTAAAGCGCATCCTTCTGGTTTTGGCTTCCAAACAACATCAATTTGCAACCACAAATTGCTTTGAACACACACATTAAAAATAAAGATGGCGTTCATTGCGCATGACGGCAACGCATACACCTTGACTGGGCACCAATCGAAATCTTGTAGAACATAACTATTGATAATTCACAGAACAGGTTTACAAGACACACCCACTCGCACAGATGACATGTAACAAGTGGGCGGAGTGTATTTCAGGTGACATGATGTTATCGGCAACCACCGTTCACACATTCACACAAATCTGACACACATAACTGCCTTCATTTGTGCTGTTGACTGAAATGTTTTAACTGCCATTTTTACGCCTTCTTTCCTTTTTGCTTGATAATTACAGTTGCTCTCAAACTGTTTTGATACAAAAATTAAATACTTCACATAACATTATTGCATATGATCTGATGCTGATCAAAGGAATAAATAATTTTTTTATACAGTAGTGGCTAATAAATATGATCTTCAACGAGAAATACTGGAATTACTTGTTGAAAGGAATATAAATTTATAATTTATAATTTAATTTTTATTTTTAAATAAATAAAATTCGTTTTTGAAATGTAAGCTGCATGCACAATGTTTATGAAAAAAAAATTGACAGAAGAGTCCTAAAAATAATGCGTACGGAATTCTACACAGAATAACATTTTATAATAGTAACGAAGGTTGAGTAATCATTAGAATTGTTTCAAGAAATTTAAAAATTCAACAATCAATTTTATTAATTTCCTTAAAAATTGAGTTCAAATAATAGAATTCACATAACGTAAGAATATTGAAGGATATTATTTACATTCTCAAATAAGTTATAGACTGTCTTATCTATATAGATCAAAATTAAAAAGGTTTTCTTGATTCCTAGACGACGAAAATGAGGTTACTTTAGATCAGTATCAAGGGAATAAGCCTCCAAACTTCCAATCACACTTAAACTAAAAAGAATTTATAGTATTTTTCGTACATATGTATGTAGTAATTGATAGAAAATTTTAAAGTAAATATTTTAAAGAAAAATTCTTTATAAGCCAACAATTCATAGGCTGGTATGATAATGTAACCAAAAACGCTTTACCTACGTATTTAATTTGAAGTCATTTTTATTCTTAAGCTACATCAACACCTTCTAATCTTTGGCAATATTTTTACACAAACCCTTATTTATTCACTAGGGCATAAGGCATAAATATTTTGTTTGCATACAAGATTCGAAAATAATGTCTTTTTTTTCATTTAAATGTAAAAATCTTGTCAAAATCTCGTGGATATGGATACCAAGTCTGTTATGTAATAATGCAGTGATAGTGTAGAATAAGAAAATATCATATGTCTCGATAAAAATATGATACCCGAGCGCTGATATTGCAAATACATAAAAAAATATACCTACTACAACCTTACCTTATCTTGTGAATAAAATTGGCAAGCAAAATGAACCATATTTTTTAAAATAAAAAATAAGCAACTAAAAAAACTTCAATCGTTTATAATTAGAACCAGAACTAGAACTAGAAGTCAGTAATGTTCTAAATAATTTAAATTATTTTGCTTTATCAATATAATTTCATGAATCTGTCGACATCAATTGAACATTTAAATTAAATTAAGACTTTTTAATTTGTACGCAGCCACCACTGTATTTAAAATGCCGTTTAGTATTAATTTTAATATAATTTTGATAAAATCCTATTGGATCGGTGCAATGTTAATATAAATTCAATTGTAATTAACAGTTTGATAGTGATTGGGAAAAGCTAATTCACATACACTACAAAAACAAAAACAAAATCCAACTACTCACATTTTGCTCTTCACATACTTCTATCTCTGTCTTAATAAGTATTTGGTTTTATTATAATTACTTCAGATTTCCCTGCAACAAAAAGAGATAGCCGCTGTTTGTCACTGTGTGTGTTTACAACAAAACTGCAGTATATTCTGTTGCAAACGAAATTTTCTCTTCTGATCATCATCATCGTATCTTGTATCTTGTATCTGCTCACAATGAATTTATGCACACAATAAAAACTATCCATCCACAAACTAAAAGGTGAAATATTTTTCTCAGGCAGTTTTTTCAGTTTTTCAGTTATTTCAGTTTGCTTTGAACTTGCTTTAATGGTGGATGTGTTGTCGCAACACGTTTACGACGTTTACGTGTAACGAACAAAAATTATTTTGGCTTTTGGCTTTCGGTTTACGGTTTATGGTTTACGGTTGCTACGAGCGAAGTTTTCGGTTTGTCTTCAGTGTAAAATTCACGTACGAACTACAGAGTTTGTTGAGCGTTACATGTACGATAGGAATATTATGTGAAAAGTTGTGCATGAGCGTGGCACATGAGAAAAACTTCAGCCGACAATTGCACTCACGCGTTTCACGTTGTTAAGCGGTAAAGGTAGAGGTAAAGGATTTAAGTGGTGATTGTGCGACGGTAATTTCGCATCGTGAACTGATTTCATATAAAACGAGCATTTGTTATTGTTTTTCCGTTTATTGATATTTTTATTGTTGAACGCGTCGCGCGAACTATTTACGCTCCAATAGATCATCCGTTCTGCGCCCAAGTTCTGCATACGGAATTCAGCCTTTGACGATTGACATTTGCACACCAAACGAATTTATTTATTTGTTTTTCGTTCTTCGTTTTTCGTTTTTCGTTTTTGCTTTAAAATTTGATGGAAAAAATTCTAAAATAAATCCAAAAATTTAAATTCTTTCGTCTGTGGTTTTTGTTTTGTTTTTATTTCAATCTTCAGTAATCTTCAGTATCTTCAGTATCTGCACGTGCTTAATGTGCAGACATTTAAAGTGTTTTAAATCAACTAAAATAATAACAGATTAAAATACGGAATAATCTGATTAAGAATAAAAATATTTCGCAGCAATTAAGTTTACCAAAAACCCAGTGAAATTAAATATTTTTTTGATATTTACTTGAATGCAGTTGAAAGTGTCTACGTAACAGAAAGCGAAACCTTAAAATGTTTTAAAAAGGAACTGAAACCCAAAATTGGATAACCATAAGCTCAAAAAGGTAATAAAGGTGAAATAGTGTTTATAAAGAAAATAAGACAACAAACATGTATCTATTAATATGTATCTATCAAAATATTGTAAGCAAGACGTCGAGATGACAGTACCTAATCGTATTACCAGTATTACCAATATCTCTGAAATACTAGAAAGAAGCTTTACACTTTATCGAACCTCAACCTGTTGCACGTTAGCCTCGCATTCTTACTGATGTCTCATTCTTTATTGATGTTCTTTTTCTCTCCAGTTCCAGACGCCCATTATCCTTGGTCAATTATTTATTCTATTTACACATCTTCTGCGTGGTGGTACTCTTTTTCTTTCTCTTAGAAAGTCGCTGGAAGAAACTGTAGTCTGTAGTTTGTCAATCCATATCCTTATGATATGGCCAGCTTATTTGAAGCCCCATTCATCAAGCGTATTGAATTCTATAAGTCCTATGAGCAAAGTTTTTCATTCGCATTTCAATTTTATCTCAACAATTCGGAAAAGTAAACAAAAATAATTTATAACAATAATAATTTTAATCAAAAATTAATAAGACTGTTTCAAATAAAAAAAATTAAAACAGAAAAAAATAATTATTATGTATATATGTTATACATATAATATGAGTGATTACTATTATTGAAGAAAGAGCAGCATACCGTGACTTATAAAATCTATTTATGATTTTTCTGAAGAAATACTCCCTAACAAAGGTTGTAGGCTTTCATAGTCAAATATCCTTTGATCAAGATTCCTTGAATTCTTCTGCTTTGATGGTAGTTAAATGATGACTTTGTTTGGAGTTTAAAGTTATTATTAAATATGATAATATTATTTGAATAAAGATTCTTGACTCATTTTAATTCGATGACAACCAGATGAAGACGCAGCTAAAGACAAACAAATTAGATGTATTAATATTCTAAAGGTAAAAAAATTATTTTTCACTCCATATTTTAATGACGTCGTGAAATCTCCAAAAATAATGCCAATAAAAATTTTGATATTTTTGGGGTACTCCTATTTTTAATTTTCAGTTCCCTTGTGATTATTATTTTACCTCTAAAGTATTTTTTGTGAACATGTTAGCAATAAGTCAACGGATAATTGGTAGAAAAAAATAAATTAACAGTTGTTTTTATATCCCTATTTGTTAATAATTTGTTAATAATGATTTCTTATATTAGATTAAGTAGCAGGTATTTAGTGTATACATATACATTGTGTATATAATTTATAATATATATTATACACTTATAGATAATGTATGTTGGAATATATATATTATATTATATATGTTTACTACTTGAAAAAAACATAAGCGTTCGATTGGAGAAGATGAACAAGTTAATTTAAAAGAAACACTGGAATCCTTTAATTATATCTATATGTTATATAGAGTCCCTCAATAAAGACTTGACATACTTTTTCATTATATAATTTATAGGTGCAACTATACATTATATATTTTCATTTCATCATATATAGTAAAACCAAAATATATAATATAAATAAACACACTCTTAATTCATATACTTCAATTCCGAACCTAGTATTACATCTATAGAGCTTAACGGTCTTAAATACATTAAACTGTTTTGATTTTATAAGTTTTATATGTAGTCATAAGAAACATTTGAAGGAACCGATATTTGGTGCATTTTAATCAAATAAAATCATGTATCAGAAAAGTCTAATATATTATATTTCATTTTGGTACATGTTTTTTTTAAAGATTTATATTTGAAGAGCTAGATCCCAAATGCATAGAAAGCCATACTTGTAAATTTGCTGAATTTTCTTTTTCTGACCTATTGTTGTACAATTGTGAAGTTCTCTTAAGGTATTCTTTTGGATGTTATGTTATGGTTATGATATGGTTTATTCACATTTGTGAAAAGAAGTGTGGAGCATTTTTAAAAGCAATTAAGAGATGTGAAACCCCCGCTTTTAAAAATTTTAATTTTAAAAAAAGACAAGAATTTTTTTGTTGAATCCTACTTCAAAGTTTCATAAAATAAACAAGAATTGGAATATATGGGTATACTATATCCCGTAACGTGTTTCATCAAATAAATTATTTTGTTCTGGATCCTTTAAGAATTTAACATCGATATGAAGATTTGTAATATATTTACATAGATATGAAGATTGTAAAGAATATTTATTTCTGTGTAGTTAATGTGGTCTAGTTTATTCAATAAAATCTTCTTTGGAGTTGTCTGTGATATTTCTTATCTAAAGTGTTTAAAATGTTTTTATTAAATATTTAACAAGTCATATTATGAATTTCATCTCACTATGATATATGTATGTATAATATGATATGATATGATATCATCACCTTTCATATATGGCATGTATTCGGATGACTTTTTCCTATTTCTTGAACTTAAATAACTTCTACAGAGAAATTCTTTTAAGATTAAAGTGTTTAAACTAAATTCATATTGTCCATGTAAGTTATTTCCACTTTTAATTTCAAATCAAACAAAAACCGGGGTTAATGTGTAATCCTCTAATCATTATCCCCATACCGTGATCATGATCATCTGATCACATATTTTTCATTATAACTATCTTTATCACTATGTGTAGCATCATAAACATTATTATCCTTATCATTAATGTCATCAATAAGATTTGACGCTTGTCGAATCTATGATTTCTTCGGAATATCTCTTTATAAGTCTGTGTGATACCATATCATCCCAATAGGACAACGAAAAGAAACAAGTTTTATAATGTTAGAATACTTGTTTTATATTTTTGAAGTTCATATTTTAATTATATATTATATGTTTGAAAATTATTTTTTCTTATATAAAATTTTTTTAGAAAAAATCGCTCTTAAGGCTACAATAGTTTCAGTGGCACTGAGTATATCTGAAGTTGAAATAAATATCAACATTTCATATAATGGGTCTGAAAGTCTTTAAACTAGTTTATAATTTATTAGTACCACGAAATCAGATATACATTTTTTGGCATTTCTGCTGTTGCAAATGTATACTGATTTAAGCTGAATGCTCTGGAGGGCCTCTAAATTTGTGAAACGATGCTTTAAATTGTTCAGAATAATTTAGATACTTAAAATTGCTGACATTTACACAATATCTATAAATGAGAAAACTTATTTATTATGAAATCAAAAAGATATTATTTTAAACATTTAAATATGTAAACCAAATATTTTAAAAATAGTCTAAGAATATTCTATAGGATAGTCTAACAATATTCTATTAAAAAATTAGATTATCTTCTTTTTGTTCTGAACAAATTTATTGTATCTAAATATTACGTGAAACCATATGAATAAAAGTTTTTAATATGTATAAACTAGGAGGTATCTTGGTTCCTCCAGAATGCGTTTTGAAATGCAACTTGGGTCTTTAATTTGCCTGAACTAAAATTTTTAAAATTTTTACCATTCTATTTATTTAAGACAATTTTTTCTCACTTAATTATGAATGAATTGTGGGTTTCTTTATATTTTCGCAATATTTTTTTGTTTATTTTTTTGGATTTAATGCGTAACTGCACACATTCATGCCCGCTGAACACGCAACGCAAATCGCGCAATTTACGCACTTTTGGCGTTGAGATTTTTGAGTTTTGCACGCAAATTCGTGTTTTTTGCTGCGAAAATTTATGCTGAAATAATTTTCGGTGGTCATTCCGTCATTCCGAAATAAAGACATTTCAATTTATATGACAAAACATTAAAATAGCTAAATATCTTCGTGCCGTGCATGCATGTACCAAAGTATTTCAAAGTTAAAACGTATATAATTGCTTGTTTCGCATTCTTGCTTTGAGTTTCAAAGATAGTTTTTGATTTTTTTACTTTCTCAGATTAATTTTGTATAAACGAAAAATGTCATCTTACTAAATTACCCACTAAGTTTGATATTTTACATAACTCAAGAATACTAATGAATAAAATCAGATATATTTAAATTTAAATCTTCATTGTATTATAAATTGAGTGCTTTGATGCTACTTGAGAATTTATTAGTACTATATACAATATATTCTCTGTCCTATGTTCTTGACAAGTGCAATAATACTAACCTAATATACAAAAATATAAGGAACCTATATTAAGAGCAAATGGGTTAACACCCATTTGTCCTTTAAAGACATCCTTAAATTCTAAAAATGTAATTTAAGGTTATTAACGGAGTTTATTACAGGTCGTTATGGTCTGAAATATTACCTTCATAAACTACAATTATCTACGAATTCGGAATGCAGATTATGCATCGAAGATGAGGAAACTACCATGTATATTCTTTGTGACCGTCCAGCTTTAATGACGCACAGAAGAAACTCTGGAATTTCTGTCACCAGAACATATTAAGAACTCTTGAAATTGCTACAATTGTACTCTTATGACCGCAGTACCGGCTGTTGGGCGATTTCACGTCGAAACTTTTAATAATAATAATAATAATAAGACGAAATGGGGAAAAAGTAGGTATAATAGTTAAGAGAAAGGAATAGACACATAAGAAAAATTGTTATATGTTTCTCTTCAAAAGTTTTCAACTATTTTTTATTTATGTTTTTTTTCTACTTCGCGTTATAACCACTCACAGAAAACCCAATCCTTATTGTGCAATAGACTTCGGTTGTCAACTATCTTTGTGCTTTTTTCTCTTTCCCGATATGCCATTCCAGGTCGAGCCTGAGCTCGGTATGACATTCTCAGGTATGATCATTTACACAAAGCATACATTTTGTATTTCTCTATTTCGCTACGCACTACTTCAAGACTTCTAGTCATTCTAGTCACTTCTGTTTTTTTGCTATTAACTATTAATGGTAATTCTTATTAAATCTATATTTATTCCATGATGTATTTTTAAGGTCAATCTTTTTCTGTTTTTCTTGTACTCCCAAAACATAACAAATTTTTCTCTTAGTTTCTTTTTAAACCTTATGTCTATAAATTTGGGAATTTATTTTTTTATTATTTATAAGTAATGGTCTAACAAATGATTTGCATAT